AAATTTTCCGAGTTAGTCGTATTTATTCAACTCTGGAATGGAAAAAATAAATTATGTATGTCATTTCACAATCGTTCAACGGGTAAACGATATTTGCTGCGACCATGTTCAATCGGAACTATTTAATATATAGGGGGGTCTTGGCCGATTTTGTTTATAATATAAGAACTTTTTCTTGTAGTTCGAAATAATACGTGGGTCTTATTATAAATTGACTAAAATACCCTTGGAAGAATTTTATTTTTTCTTTTTAGCAATTAATAAAAAGTAAAGAAACCTGGATATTTGTGGGTGAAAGTGTCCCATATGCTTGGTCCTTTCCCACCTTCAAAAGCACTGCCTTCATACTAGTAATAATATTCAACCACACATATTAATTTATTTATTTTATCTTTTTTAATTGGCACGAAATGAGAATTAATTAATTTAAAAAAAAAAAACTAAAATGTATTTAATTTAAGATATAATGAGTATATATATTTATGGGATTATTTCATAAAAGCCCTTCATATGCACTGTCCAATTAAGAGAGGTCCAATTTTTTTTTTCCTTTTCAAAAATCCAAAATATATTTTAATTACCATAAATAATTTAATACACTATTATACCCTTCACCTAACCCTATACAACTCACGTTCTCAATTTTTTTTTCTCCGGCTTTCTCTCCTCTCTCATCTTTCAACAGGTAGCCGCCCTGCCCTTTCTTCCTCTACATCGTCGATCTCTTTCCCCAATTCTCGATTTCTTTGCCGAGGATGAGACCTCCCACTCCACCGCCTCCCCCCATCTTCACGGCTCTGATGGACCCCCTCCGTCTGCCTCCTCGTCATCCACCACGTCGGCCCTGTGGCTCCTTTTATCCTCTCCGGCGGTGATCTCCATCTTCCCTGTCGGCGGAGGAAGAAGCGGCGATTTTTGCGGTGGATCGACGAGATGCAAGGGTAATATGAAAAAAGGGAGAATTTTGATTATTTCTTATTTTCTTTTAATTGTTTTTTTAGCCTTTTAACTTTTAATTGAATAATTTGTTTTCTTCGATTATCTTTCAATTGATATCAGAACATAATTTTGAAGTCGATTCATCTTAGAGCTTAAAATTAATTGTTATATGTATATCTTGTTATATAATTTAATTGATTTGTCTTTGTTCCTACAAATCAAAGAAACGGCAATTTCGTGACTTTCATAGCTTATGTTAATTGTCTGTTCCTATTTTCCATTGTCGTACTTTTATATTCCGGTCAAAGTTCTTAATTTTCTAAATAAAATAAAATAATAAATATAAACTACTGGTGGGTTTAATATATTACCGTATATTGCATGTATTTGTTGATTGGAAATATTCATAGCAAACTTAAAATTATGTCTTTCAATTTTTAAATATATTCTTTTGCTTCAAAAGGCCCAGGCTACTTGTGTACTGTGGATACATCAACAACTTTTCGTTGGACTTGAGATTAGTTTTGAAGCAGTAAAACATAAATCTTATATGTTTGTTATTGTTCTTCTGTTGTATCGTATAGTGGACTTCGTTAATTTCATAGTAGATTTTGATAAATTTATAGTGGATTTCGATAAGTATATATAGTGGTTTTTTTCAATAAATTTATACTAACTTTCGATAAGTATACATAGTGGTTTTCGTGTTTATACAGTTGTTTATATAGAGTGGTTTTCATGTTTATGATGTTTACACAGAGTAGTTTTCATGTTTATACAACAGTTTATACAAAGTGGTTTTCATGTTTATACAGCAGTTTATACATAGTGATTTTCATGTTTATATAGTTGTTTATACAGAGTGGTTTTCATTGTTGTTCCCTCATCCATTTTTCGTTTCAACAGATTTATGCAATATTAGTAGGTTAGAAAGAATTTGTTTATGAAGATTTCCCGAATTTTGTTCCCACCAACGATGGTGTGACCCCAAGGTTTGCTTTTGGAAATTGGTTTTCATTTTCTAATTAATTTTTTTCTTGTTCAGATTGATTTAGTGACCCTCGTCGGCCTTGTTGGTGGTGGTGTACTGGTCTTGTATTTTTTCCTGAACATAGTAGTGGTTTACGTTTCAAATAGTGGGTTTTCGAATATTGAATTTACTTTTTTTTTTTGTTTGTTATATTTTGAGTTGTGCTAGTAGTGGGTTACATATGTTTTAGTGGATTTCGATAAGCTTGCTGTGGATTATGTTAATATTAAAGTGGATTACGTTAATTTTACAGTGATTTTCGATAACTTTGTAGTAGCTTCCGATGAGTATATAGTGGATTTTAATTTTCGGTAGCTTTCGTTGAGTATATAGTGGATTTTAATTTTCGTAACCCTAGTGGAAAAAATTATAAGAAATTGAAAAAAAAAATGGCGTTAAAAGCCATATTTTTTAAACTTGGTGGAAGAAATAAAAAAACTAAATAATAAAACTGAACTAAAATAAAAGGAAACAATTAAATAATAAAACTGAAATAACATAAAAGTAATATTTATTTTAAAATTGAAATTAAAAAAATCATATTTTTTCTAAGGAAAAAAAAAAGAAGAAGAAAAAACTGAAATAACGTTAAGGAGCTATTTTGTAGAGAGAATGATATGGGCATTTCAGGTAATTTCAATTAAATGGACTTATGTCAAATATCAATTAATAAAATGGATTTATTATGAATTCAAAATTGAATGAGGTTTTATTATGAATTCAAAATGGACTTATGTCAAATATCAATTAATAAAATGGATTTATTATGAATTCAAAATTAATAAAATACAGAGTGGTTTTCATGTTTCTTTTCTTTCCAGTTTATTTAAATAAAAACCACTCTATATAAAAATGAAAACCACACTGTACAAACAACTATATAAACATGAAAACCACTCTGTATAAAAATAGCTATATAAACATGAAAACCACTCTGATTGGGTTTCAAACAATTTAAGTTTGGTGGTGGTTTCATTTTTTTAGGTTTTGTTTCTTTCCCATATGGTTCAATTGTTCTTAGGGTCTGATTGGTTTAGGTAAAATGGTAAGTAAAAAGGTGAAATCTCCGAGTAATTTAATTTTCCTGTTTGGTTTAAAGGTAAAATACTGTGTAAAGTAATTGGGAGAAAAAGCGGAAAACTTTTTTAGCTAAAAATGAGGAAAAACCATTTTCCCCCAAAAAAATGAGGAAAACTGGGAAAAAGAAACAATCGAACCTTTCATCTTATTTTCTAAATTACTTTTTGTTCAACTCTTCGCCATCGTTTACTGGCCGCCACTTCTACCACCACCTCCGCCGCCGATTTTCCAACATCGTCAACAGCTCAGCCTTCCACCACCTCCTCGCCGGAGATCCGGCGACCATCTCCGACACCACACATCCCAGCGCCCAAATATCCACCAGAAGACCATGTTCGCTGCCGCATCCACCACCATCAGCCTTCCGCCGCCAACCTCCGCTGCCACTCCGAACTCCGCCGCCTCCTCTCCACGCTGACCTTCACTGCCGACTCAACAGCACCGACCTCCACCGCCGACTCAACTCCGACCTCCGCCGCCACAACACCTACAATCACTACGGCCGACTCAACGCCGACCTCCGCCGCCACAACACATGCAGTCACTACCGCCGGCGACCTCTCCACCACCGCCAACCAACCTCTTTTCATCGCTTGAGCATTTCCGGGCGGCCATGTCTATTGAGCTCTCTCCTCCCTCTCTTCTCCTTCCTTCTCTCTCCTCTCTCTCTCTGAAATCTTCTCTCTCCCCTCTCTCACTTCTTCCTAAAGTCTTCTCTCTCTCCTCCTGTCAAATCTTCTCTCTCTACCTCTCTCCTCTCTCCAATTTGACAGAAGATAATTTGGTTAGGTGGTAGGGTGGTGTGAGGTGATCTGCAGATTGGAGATTATTTTTATTTTTTATTATGTAATTTAGTTTTGAGTAATAGTTTAATGTCATTTTAAGTTTACTCGTTCTTTTCTCGAAAACAAACAAAACAAAGGAAAGTAATTTTCTACTTATTCATTTTCATCAATATTTTTCTTAGGAACCAATCACAATAAGAATTTCAAAAGTCCTTGATTTCATTTTTCTTTGCATTTTCATTTTCCTTATTTTGAAATCCATGAACCAATCAAAGCCGAGATTGGGTTATGATGGTGGAGGCGAAACAATTGGTCTGTGGTATAGTTTGCGGACGGTGATTGTTGTTGGGGGTGGGGGTAGGGGGTGGGGGCAGGGGGATTTGCTAGAGAGATGGTGGCAAAATAAATTGGCAGAGGCGTAATGGTGGTGGTTGAAGAGACATCACATGATAAATAATTATTAGAAGTTTGTAAAATGTTAGGGTTAAACATAGGGGTATAATGGTGAAATCTAATTATTTTTTATTAGTTAAAAATATTTTGGATTTATCTTAAAATAATAAAATATTTTTGGACTCATTGTAACTACACATGTGTAACTAGGGAGTTTTGGCAAATAATCCCTATAAATAAAGATATGGGGCCATTTGATATACAACCTTGGAGAGGCAAAAATACTATTGTGCCCTTATTTGTAAATTTTAATCAACTGCATTCAGGTTTTCCAACTGCATTCAACATTATAGCTAACTGCACTCCACACTTTTAGACCTGCATTTATCATTTTTCAGATTTTTTAATAAAAAATTATAAATTTTTATTTTATTATTATTTTTTTATACGTACCCTCTTTTTGTGTTTTTTTAATTTTTTTAATTTTTAATTTTTTTAAATTTTGCTTTTTTAAATTTTTTAAATTTTTTAAATTTTTTAAATTTTTTAAATTTTTTAAATTTTTTGAATTTTTTGAATTTTTTAAATTTTTTTTAATTTCTTTTTTAATTGTTAATTTACTGTACTGAAAGTGACTACACATGACTATAGTATACCACAATCATGTATAGTTATATGTAGCCATGTACTTTTTTACCCCAAAGTTATGGTCGATCGATTATAAAACCCGTTGATTATATATATATATATAAAAAATCATTTACACCAATAAAAAAATTCAAAATTTGATTCTTGATATTATAAATAATTTTATGCCTAACAAAAAAGTGAAAAAAAAAATACAATCATCAAGATCACTATACATCAGAAAAACCACATAGCTTGTATACAAATATATATAACTACATGGAACTATACATGACTACAGTTATCTATACGACTAAATTTGACTCAAATTGTACTTGTCAACACGAGAACCGCTTGTTTTGAACAACGAACACAATCCACTCCGCAAAAACTTACTACATAGTAGTTCAAACACCAAGACCTATGAAAAAACTTACTACATAGCAGTTCAAACACCAAGATCTGTGAAAAAGAAAAAGAGTTAAACAAACAAAGAATTTTGCTTCAAATTTAAATGTGCACACACGCACTATCACCTACTGGTATACATAGATACTCCCCACATAACTCATACATGACTACATATGACTACATGACTACATAGTTTATATATAACTATATATTACTACATGTGACTACACCATATATTACTGTATGTTACTACACGTGACATATATTACTATATGTGACTACACCATATATTACTGTATGTTACTACACATGACTATATATGACTACATGTATATGAACACATGTGACTATATACATGTATGTGACCTTATTTGTCCCTTCAAGTACCTGACTTTGTTCTCTAGGCGATACGAGACAACTTATTTTATCAAAATCAAATTACAAACAGAGTATGCTAGTCATTATTCTTCGTATAACCAAAGGTGAAAGATCAAAGCAAGTTGAAGTGGAACACCATAGATAAAATAATAGTTGAAACACACGTAAAGTAGTCACCTATTTCATTCTCGATAAATAAAATATCAATATCATATTACCAACAAAATATTCTCATCACGAATCTACATATACTCCCAAGTATAAAAAAAAGTAAACAAATCATTTGAGGACCAATAAACAGTGATTCAATATATTAGGAAGCACATTAAAATTCATTACCTTTTCTATGCCTTCAATGGATGAACAGTCAGTTTTGTCGCACCACCACCAGGAACAAGTTTCGAGTTTTTTGTATTATATTTCTTGCCACAACAATCGCGTTTTATGTACAAGTCGACTCCTACAATTAAACTCACAGCTTCACACAAAAAAAAAGAAAAAAAGAAAAAAACAATTAAAACCAAAACTCTAAAAATAACTGCAAAATTCGATGATGGCTGTACAAAAAATACTTTGGTGAACTCAAAAAATACCTGCAAAATTCGAATTGCATTACATGAAAAATACAAAAAAACAATGAAAAACACTTTATTGATAAATTTACTTTGGTGAACTATAGTCACATGTAGTGATGTCTTCTTGTTACTACATATGACTATATATGACTATATGTAGTCAACTATAGTCAGATGTAGTTGTGTTCATTCTTGTTACTACATGTGACTATATATGACTACGTGTACATGACCACATGTGACTATATATGTATATATATATATATATATATATATATATATATATATATATATATATATATAGAGCTAATTGCAAATACCTCCCCTGTGTAATCTCTAATTGGCAAATACCCCCTTGTCAAAAAAAAACTCACCAACACCCCCTCGTGTAATCAATTTCAAAACTCACAGCCCCCTCTGTGTTTTTAGGCATTGACTAAAAGTGAAATGACACAAATGCCCTACGGGTTTTTCAGCAATTAGTAAAATATATATTGTACATATTTATTTGTTAAAATTTTCTTAACTCTGTATTAATTTAATTAAACCAAAATTTATTAGACAATTATTTTTAATTTTTGTGTAGTTATTTTTAATTTTATAAACATTATTTATTAATAATTTTGAAATTAAAAAATATTAACAGAAATTAAACATGTATTGTTGTATTAAAAGATTTTATATGTTTTATATTTTTTTATATTAAATTTTAATTTAAATTAAAAAAAAAAAGAAAAAAAAAAGAGCAAAAATAGCTCTTCTTCTTCCCCGCTCCGCCCCACCCCACCCCCACCCCACCGACCACCCAAATCAACACTTCTTCTCCCCACGCACCTGCCCCACCACCGGCTCATCTTTCTTTCACCCCGACATTCGCGTAGTGAAAGTCTCCTCCAATTTCACTATTCCTATGGCAGTGGATCTGCAATTTGAACAAAGACGGTGACGGCGGTGCCCGACGGTCCAGAAGGCGGCGGTGGTGCGAGACAGCCAGAGAGCGAAGGTGGTGCTCGACGGTCCAGAAGGCGGCGGTGGTGCTAGACGGGCGAGAAGGCGGCGGTGATGCCGAAGTTTTTCCGGGCTGGGAGGTGGGCGGCGGCGTGAAACGAAGAAGAAGATCTGAAAAAATCTTCAATTTTTGTCCCTTATTGCAATTTTGGAAATTTTAAAATTTACAATTTGGTCCTATAAATTATAGTTATTTATAATTTGACCACTCGGATTTTTTATTTATTTGTACAGGGGTATTTATGACATTTCACCCTAGAAATAACATAAAAATTCGCAGAGCCCGCGCGTGAGAGACACGATTTGCCTTAAGGGGTCTAGATGCATTGACTTTGGTTACACAGGGGGGCGTTGGTGAGTTTTTTTTTGACAGGGGGGTATTTGACAATTAGAGATTACACAGGGGAGGTATTTGCAATTAGCTCATATATATATATATATATATATAATTCGTCTACACCACCAAAAAAGTTCACAAGTGAATCTATATAAAATGGTGAATAGAACAATGCGGTTGAAAAAGAAAATTATTACTTACCGTGCCAGCAGTTTAAGGTAATCAATATACTTCGTTCTGCTTTCCTCAGCTTTTCTCGATTGTCTCTGCCAAATGCTGCTCAAGGCATACATTATATATTATTAAAAAAGAAAAACAAGAAAATAGCAGACAATTTTACATGTATAGAAAAGAAGCCAAGTGTTCAAAGAATTAACCAAAAGATTAAAATTAATGTCCATTAAAGTATTCTGAATGGAAAGCTGTGAAGGGGAGAGCGCAAAGCAGGTTGCGCTACGAAGTATAAAAAATAGATTGACCCACCAATGATATCATGTGCCTCAATGATATCATCACTAGTTCAGTAAAATCATAAAATATTTCTCTTCAAGTCAAAGTCTTGGTTAAACTAAGGTATATATATCTCATGTAGACTTAATATTCAGGGGAAACACTAATTACTGCCACCTATCAAACAAAACAAGATGTAGGGAAACTCTAATTACAAATTTCAACAGCAACGATCAGAAAATCAAACAAAACCCTAACTACAAAGTTCAATCAATACCTTTCGTACCATTGAATATTCCTCCAGATGTGTAATGTTTTCAAAGAACCCTCTCCCTTCGAGCACCGAGAAGAAGGTGATTCTAGTCCTCGCCATTTGCCGAGCCAGAAACTCGTGCGACGGAATATGGATCCCGTTCTTCTCCTCGCCGCCGCCGTCCTTCCTCATAATCGTCGTCGATCTCCCTTAACCTTTCTCCGTCCTTACCTTCCGCTTCTTCTCCATCGCCGCTGCCACCGGAGCCTTTTCCACTATGCTGGTTTTCTGTTTTGGCGAGAGAGTCAGAGAGAGAGATTTGGAAGAGAGATGTAACGGCGTGTTGGGTTGTGGGTGTGAGAGAGAAGGCTAAGGGTGGTTAGGGTTTAATTGAACTAAAAGGGCAAAACAGGTATTTTATGTTGTCTAGGGGGGTCTGTCAAATTAAGATTTGAATTTGAGTTTTTGACTAGAACAAAAAAACATTAGACCTCCTCATATATATTTTCATAACTAGGGGGTTATCCCTCATTCTCCCTAAAGATATTGTCAAGTTGTTGTTCTCTTTTCTCTTTTTTTTTTTTTAATATGTTTAAAAATGAGGTGTTTTTTTTCTTTTAATATCAAAAGTATGAATAAACCTTCCAAAAGCATATAATAAAAAAAGATTATTAACCCACATTTAAATTAAAAAAATAAAAAATAAAATAAAGATTGTACTAGTGAATAAAATACATATAGATTATACTTACCACCCAAAAACGAAATCGAGGGCTCGTTGTGCTGCTATAACATCGAGTCTGCTGTTCGAATACGGTACGAACCAATGAGTCACTATCGTTATCCCGATTTGACCCTTTTGAGTTGGCTATATAACAACATAACCAATATCATTTTTATTTATGACCTCATAAAAAAAATATTCTTTATATATATATATATATATATATATACCTTGTATTTTGTTCGGTATAATTTAACTGCTGCAGCATGGCTAATGAGAATATGATGAGCAACAAAATAAGGCTCTTCTCAAAACTCAATTCCAACATCCCCAGAAAGCCTTACAAAGTGATAATGGTCGTGAATTCAAAAATGCGAATTTTCAAAACTACTCAACTAAACACGGCATTCTAAATCGTTTTTTGTGTCTCCACACCTCCCCTCAAAACGGACACGCAGAACGAATGATCCGCACTATAACTAACATGATTCGATCCCTCATCTTTCAAGCCCATCTTCCTCCTACTTATTGGGTCGAAGCCCTTCATATGGCCACACACCTACTCAATATCTTACCTACCAAAACCACCCAAAACCAGACTCCTCACGAAGCTCTTTACCTTATCAAACCTACATACTCTCATCTTCGAGTATTCGGCTGTCTCTGTTATCCCAACCTCACCGCCACCACACCACATAAACTCTCCCCCCGTTCTACTCCTTGTGTCTATCTCGGTCACCTTTCCTCTCACAAGGGCTATCGTTGCCTTGATAGATCCACTGGCCGAATCATAATTTCTCGTCATGTTACCTTCGACGAAACTAACTTTCCTTTTGCTGAGTCCACTCCCCCCAAAAACACATTTCCTCCTTCTGCCTTGGACGACAACACACCCTCCATGTTCCTCCTCCCTCAGACCTCGTCTAACTGTTGCAACAGTTCCTCCAACTGTTCCAACAGTGAACCACCATCTTCCAACAGTTCGTCCAACAGTCCTACAACACAGCCACCACATGTTTCTTCTGCAGCACCACCTCTCGACCACGGCCAGCTCACAACCCCTTCTTCTACTTCCACATCTCCTTCCCCTACTCCCACACCTCCCCCAACTCCCCTTGCTCACCCTATGGTGACTCGCAGTAAAGTGGACATCCACAAACCCAAAGTCTCTTTCTCTCTCGTTGCGTCATCTACCTCTTCCATTCCCACCAACTATCGCCAAGCTCTTCTTGACCAAAACTGGCGAAACGCCATGATTGAGGAATATACTGCTTTAATTAAAAACCAATACTTGGAATGTTGTGCCCCGCCCCCCGT